TCTGTTTCTGCAAAGCTGTGTTTTTATGGTTTATTTTAGAATGTATATATCAAAATTTTTGCTGAGTCAAAAATTTTCCAGGGTCGGGGGGAAAATGTAGTGTTATACTACTTACGTATCATTTTACATTATTTTAAATTCATTTTTCCATTCTGTTTCGATTTTCTGCATTCACCTCAAAACTGGATATTTTACATCACCTTTATTTCCATAGGATCCTGTAACGATTTTAAACCATAAGAACACAATAACAAATCATTTCTACTTCGTATTTTCACATTATCAGCACTTTTAAATTGGTGTCAATGGAGTCTACCTTTTTTTTCGATCTTTTAGCTAGTTTTCCGTAACTCTACAATCTTGGACTTTGTGTGGGCAGTTGCGCTACCTTTTTTCCTATATCAATAATATCTCATTTTCCACTTAAATCCTTCCGTTTTCTTATTATAAACCTAAAACAAAAATTTGACATGTTTTGTCTTTCTTATTTATATCGTTTCCATGGTAATTATATTCAAATTTGCTACCGATCTGTTATTCCTATTTCGATAATTCCACATAAATCCTCTTTTCTCTTGACCATTTACAAAAAATTTGCGTTTAATTTAAATAATTTTTCCGTTCTCTCTAGAAAGGTATAAAAGCCGAACAATCGGTGAAGAAAGGCAGTCTCGCTTCAGTTCGCGAATTGGAAGTATCTCCTAAAGGCCTTATCCCGGGGCCGCACTGCCCCGGGATCCTGCAAGCCTCCACCTACACGTGAAGTCTTCGGCGAAGCCTTCTTCAAACGCGGAGCCGCACCACTCCGGAATCCTACAAGCCTCCATCTACCTCGGAAGTCGCTTCGAGTCTACTACAAGCGCGGGGGCCACACTACTCCGGGCACTACTACTACTTACTCCAGGCGCCGAGTGCACCTACCGCCGGCGCTACCTTTGGGCGCTGCAACTGCTGGCTCTAAGCGTTGCGCGCCCCTTCTCCAGGCGCTACGTGCGCCGGCTCCGGACGCTGCGTGTACTGGCTCCAGGCGCTGCGCGCCGTCGCTGCTAAGAAACCTACTTCTACAAGCGCAAACGGCGTGTGCTGGCTTCAGGCGCTGCGTGCCGTCGCTGCTAAGAAACCTACTTCTACAAACGCAACGTGTGTCGCTTCGACTTTTAGGCCCCACTTCAACGCTGTATTCCCCTATTCTCTCACCTTTATTTTTTTTTATAATCTAATTGTATTCTCACCTCATTCATCATCATCCTCACATCATTTTTTTTATAAAATTGTAAATACCTTTTATAAATTTAAATATATTGTTTTCTGGCTCTACCTTTGTTGTTTTGTTGTACTTAGGTTAGGTTCTATTTTTTTATTTTTTTTTAATTGTCGCTTCACGACACTATATAAATTTATAATAACTTAATTCTTAATTATTCTTATTAAAAAACTTTAATCTAATTATTTAATAACTGCAAAAATACTTAAAAATTAATTGATGTATAAAATATCGAAATATTTTTGGTCTAGTTATTTAAATGCGCACGATTAACAGCCCTTTCATGGACACTCTGACTGAGCCGGCGCAAACCGGTTTGTACCCCGACGGAGCGTCGGTGAACCTGTCGGTGTGAGCTCACGCACACATCGCTGCGCTATGTATGGGTGTACTCGCAGCGAGCCGTTTGTATGTAGCTTCCCCTCTGGTCGGTTTCTTTACTCATGTGGTTATATCCCCGAAACTCTTCACCGCTGCATTGGAAGACGTTTTCAAGCTTCTGGACTGGAAAGGATACGGTATTAACATCAATGGCGAGTACATCACTCACCTTCGATTTGCCGACGATATAGTCCTTATGGCAGAATCGCTGGAGAACCTAAGCACTATACTCAATGACCTCAATAGTGTCTCCCAACGGATAGGTCTTAAGATGAACATGGACAAAAAAAGAAAGATCATGTTTAATGTCCATGTCACACCTATGCCGGTAGTTGTTGGGAGCACTAAGCTCGAAGTTGTTGACGAGTATGTTTATCTGGGACAAATAGTCCGACTAGGTAAGTCCAACTTCGACCGAGAGGTCAATCGACGGATTCAACTCGGCTGGGCAGCGTTCGAGAAGCTACGATACATCTTCTCGTCAGACATACCTCAAAACCTTAAAACGAAATTGTACAACCAGTGCGTGTTGCCAGTGATGACTTACGGAACTGAGACGTGGTCCTTCACTGCTGGCCGTATGAGGAAGCTCAAGGTCGCTCAGCGAGCTATGGAGAGGGCTATGCTCGGAGTTTCTCTGCGTTATAAACTTAGGAATGAGGATATCCGCAGTAGAACCAGAGTAACCGACATAGCCTAACGGATTAGTAAGCTGAAGTAGCAGTGGGCCGGCCATATAGCTCGAAGAACCGACAACCGATGGGGAAGAAAGGTTCTTGAGTGGCAGCTTCGTACCGGTAGGCGAAGTGTAGGGCGACTCCCCACGAGATGGGATGACGACCTGGTACGACATGCAGGAAGTCGATGGATGCAGGTGGCTCAGGACCGTGCTTTGTGGCATTCCTTGGGGGAGGCCTATGTTCAGCAGTGGACTTATGAAAGGCTGTAATGATGATAATGATGATGTAGGCAATTAAACCAGCAAGTAGTCAATATCAAAGGAATGCAACTTCTGTACGTACTACGTAGTACTATTATTTATTCTGTGACCTGGTATTGTAGAAGTGACGTGCCCATCATCCAATTATAATATGGAAACCATTGAAGCAATCAAACAAAAGGCAATTGACTTTTGGATGTATAAATTTCATTTGAAATGTTATTTTTTTAACTTGTCAAAGCTCGGCAAATCCATTTGAATTCTCAAAATGTCACTTTGTAGATCTCTCAAAACAATCATTTTTTAAATGTTATTTATAAGAACTATATATTGTTACAAGATGATGACTAAAAGAGGGCGTGGCTTACGGTTGCGTCACGAAGATGGTGGGGTAAAAGCCGGTCGCGGTTGCAGCGGCACTTTGGCTCGAACGGTCGGAGAGGGAGAGGGCGGACGTGCTAGGAATAGGAGCTAGATATTTGCTTAAGTTGCTAATTAATAATTGAGATTGTAAATGTAATAAGAAGTTTATAATACAAGTTTTGCTTTGAGTGCATTTTTTATTTTTGAATTTTACTTCTGGTCGATAATATCAGAAGTGGGATAGTGCTTCGTCGCCTACCCGCTTTTGGAACACCTGACTAACATTAAAATTAAATATTAGTGTCGTGATTACATTTTAACGTTTTAGTAGTTTTCTTTTTACTTAGTGTTCAGATTATAAATCTTAAAATGTCTGAACAACAATCTCACTCTTGTAAACGCAAGCATGAGTCGAACAAGGATGTGCTGAATGCTATCCTTGCCAGATTGAATACGCTTGAGGAACGTTTTACTTCGCCGCCACCGCCGTCCGAGCCACTTTTACAGGTCGCGTCAACATCTTCGGGGCAGGCACCGCACCCTGTACTGCCCGCGCTAATGATTGGTGCAGCCACCGACGACGTACGCGATGATGACTCGACGGCAGTTCACGCACCCGTCTCGGTATCACGGGAAAGCATTGCCACAGGCGGAGACACAACTGGCAGAATCGTGGAGGCCATCACTTCGTTAGTTAAAGTAAGGTCTAATAATTATTATATTTCTAACTTTGACCCTCATTTTCACAATATCGACGTTTGGTGCGAGGAAGTAGATAGAGCTAAAGAAACAAACGGATGGGACAATAACGAGTGTTTGTCGCGAATCGGTAATTTTTTGAAGGGAGAAGCACGTGGGTGGCTTAGCGAGTGGTCCAGCACCGATCGTTCGTGGACGAATTTCAAACGAGAATTTAAAATGCTGTGTCCTCGAACCCTCGATATTGCGTCTATTCTTTACGAAGTGATGACCAAAGATTCTAAAAGTTATGCTACTTACGCCGAATACGCTAGACGTTCGTTGTTAAGGTTGGGTTTGGTTAGGGGACTATCTGACGAACTGATTGTCGCTATAGTATTAAGGGGCATCACAGATCCTCATATTAAAGCTGCAGCTACTAATGCAAAGTTACAACCCAACGATTTAGTGCAATTTTTGTCGATGTACATAAAACTAAAAAATGATTTTCCGTCTACCCGTGATATCACTCGTGAATCGCATCCTAGTTCTGAATCAAACATTACCCGACGGAATGAAAATAAAAAGGAGGTTGGCGACTTAAGATGTCACTTTTGTAGAAGGTTTGGGCATAAGCGTATAGACTGTAAGAGTGCTAAAAGAATGAGACTAGCTAATAATTCGGGGTCGTCGTCGTCCAACACACAGTCGCCGCATTCTGTAACATGCTCATTTTGCAAAAAGAGTGGTCATGAAATTAACGACTGGTTTGCCAAACAACGTTCAGAGTAAGAGAAAACTTAACCTGCACAATGTAAATTTTTGTAGTAAATTGAAGCGCAGTAATTGAAGGCGTAACGATTGATATCCTAGTAGACAGCGGTTCTTGCATATCACTCGTGTCGAGTTCCTTGTTGAAACATTTTAAGGTTAACCAAAGATCGACATACCGCATTTTACGATGTATAGGAAGTCAATTTATCGAATGTACCTCGTTTGTGACATTAATTGTGGAGCTACCTCACATATCTATGGAAGCCGATTTTTATGTGGTACCCCACGATTGTATCAGTACTTCGGTCATTATAGGCACCAGTATGTGAAGGCATCACATATATCCGACAAAATGTTCTTTCGATATTAATAATGTAAACACACCTCTTAAAGGTGAAGAGAAAGAACAGCTTTTGTTGGTTATCAGTAATGGTCAGGTTAGGCCGAGCATGCGTAAGGTCCAGGCATTGGTTGATTATCCAAAGCCTCGAAGTGTTAAATAAATTCGACAATTCCTTGGCCTTGTGGGCTATCTCAGAAGATATATTCCAAATTATGCCCAGCAAACAGCTTGTATCGCACAATTAAAAAAAAAAATACATGCCGTTTGAGTGGGGAGTCGAACAAGATAAAGCTCGTCAGTATATTATTGACTGTTTAACAAACGAACCCGTCCTTGGCATTTACGACCCTCGGTTACCTACGGAGGTGCACACAGATGCAAGCGCTACCGGTTACGGTGCAGTCTTAATACAGATTCATGAGGGTGGGCTTAGGCGTGCAGTAGCGTATTTCAGTAAATCAACCCAAGGCGCGAAACCCAAATATCATTCCTATGAATTAGAAACTATAGCCGTAGTTAAAGCTCTCCAGAATTTTAGAAAGTACTTGTTAGGCGTATCCTTTAAAATTGTTACGGACTGTAACACTCTAAAGCTAACCGAGCGTAAAAAGGATTTTCTTCCCCGTGTAGTTAGGTGGTGGTTATCCATGCAAGATCCAAACCAAAGACCAAAGACCCAACTTATTTTAAATAGTACAAAACACAGTACGACCAATATGTCTCCCCTTCAGTTGCTTATCGGAAGCGACTCTTCCACCCCAGTTATACGTGCTCTTGTCCTAGATGTTGCAATAGATATTGCTACCCCAAACCGCGAAGAGCTTATGGCGCTGTGAAGACACCGTGTGTCGACACTACTGTCTACTAACCAGCAAAAACAAGACAATCGTGGTGAATAAAGGCTTTACATCACCTTACGAGTTTGAGTATTGAAAAGACTTCCACATCATCGGTATAAATTGGAGCTATTGACTGTCTTGTACGGGAAGCGTACAGAAGCTGCAGCTGAAAACACTGTGCTGTGGGCAGGAGAGTGGACTCCCGAGACCCGTGCTGCGTTTTTTGATTGTAAGTCACCGATGTTATTATGTTTGACTGTCATGCAAATGTTTTGCTTATGTTTCGTTGTATGTATGGGTCAGTGTACTTATACATATCCACGTTGACATTGAGATGTTTTCTCTGTCACGGCAGATGGACCACTCACTTAGTTTTCCATGTTCACGTTGGTATCGAGTGTGATTCTCTACCACGGCAGGTGGAAGGTTCCGAAGGAATCTCTTCCATACTTACGTTGACATTGAGATGTTTTCTCTGTCACGGCAGATGGACTACTCATTCGGAGTTTTTCATGTTCACGTTGGTATCGAGTGTGATTCTCTACCACGGCAGGACAGTTGCCCAGAGGGGGTACTGTCACGGTATACTAGTTACTACCGTAATATAACCAACTGATGTATGGTGTATGAGGGCCCTCCAGAGAACGATGTGAATGAACGTGGTTAATAGTTTGAACGTTTTTATGAGAGATGAGTGTAATGTCATTGTAGCAGACAGCGAGGACGCCGCCGCCCCGTCGCCTCTTCACACCCCGGTGCGCCCCGCGCACCCCGCACACCGGCAGCAGATCACGCGATGTCGCCGACCAATGAGCGCGCGGCATCGCGAACGACGCTACTCACGAACCGAGACGCTCTCTGGCGACATATAAGAAGGGCGTCTCGGTCTGTGAGCTGTTCATTTCGGAAGCGGCACTCGAAGAGAAGAAACAGCAAGAGAAATCAAGAAGAATCAAGACTCCAAGAAATTAAGAAGACTCCCCTCTGTATATAGTGTAGTTAATAGTGCCACATTGTAAATAGTTTGAATACAGTATAGTTCGACAGTACCATCTTTTCTTTAAGCAGTTTCCCTAGCGTAGTCAATAATACAGTCCACTGCGATCCCTAACAAGTTCTTGGTCCATCGTCGCCGGATTCAAGCCAGAAGAAAGAAGAAAGAACATAATTATTGAAGAAAGAACATAATTATAGAAGAAAGAACATATTTATAGAAGAAAGAACATAATTATAGAAGAGAGAACATAATTATAGAAGAGAGAACATAATTACAGAAGAAAAAAGATCATTACAGAAGATCTTCGAGGAAGAAAGAAGTACATCGACGAAGAGAGAAGATCGTCGGTGCTAACTCCTTCATCGTTTCTTGCTTACATCTACGTCATATATATTGTCTATTTCCAGACAATTCCTGTTTCTTAAACCGCGTTTACGCGGCCGGGTGGTTGCTCCCTAACGGTGCCAAACTGTGACCATCTGGTAACGCCCTTGAGGCGGGAACGGCGTCCAATACGTGCGTCTTTTTGAAGACGATCGGAGGTCGCAACGAGGGACACCATCATGCGGAAGACAAGAAGCCAGAAGACACGGAACGACGACGAAACGCCAGTAGGAATGCCGATATTCGAGGAAGCACCCGCGTCCCCGTCCGATTATCTCGCGTTGGCACAAGCGCCCTCCGCCGCGCCGCAGCCCCCGCTCGCGCCCGCATCTATGCCCGCGCCCGCGCCCGCGCCGCCGCGCCCCGCTATGTCCGTGTCTACAACCGATCGCTTGGGAGAAGTTAGCACATCCGCGCCGCGCACAGAAACTCTCGCCGCGATAATAGAAGATCTTCCGACTACAGAAACTAGTTCGATAGTGCGTACCGTCGCGCCTGTAGCAGACGTTGTACATAGGCCCGCGTCCCGTGCCCCGTCGGTCCGTTCAGTCCGTTCAGCCCGGTCGACAGCTAGCGCAGTAGCAAGATTAAAACAAATCGAATATAATGCCGCGGAGGAACTAGCTGCAATTAGGAGGAAGCAATTGCAAATCGAGGAAGATCTCATCAAGAAGAAGTATGCTAGGGATATCGCGCAACTGCAAGAAGAAATATATAGGGAAAGCCTAAACGAGGACGAATTAGTCGAAAATAGGGTACGCGTTGATAGGTGGTTAGAAAACGTAGAGACTGTGCGGGGGGAGCCGCCCTACCGCCCGTCTCAGCCCGCGCCCCGCATCGAGATAGAGCAGGCCCCACCGAGTAGGGGAACCGGTTACGACCACGCTGAAGATGCCCAGGGGAGGTTGGATTCGAATGACGTTCAACCGCGCCGCGTAAATACGATACTCCCTCTGTATCGTCGGAGTCTCCCAATGGAGTCGCCGTAGAAATGAACCAGGTGGATCGTCGTGTACGGGTTACGTCACCGTCGCGCGTCCAACGCCGCACTCTATCGCCTACACATAGATCGCCACATCGCCACGCGGATCGTAGATTACGGTCGCCGTGTCATAAGGATGTAGGTGCACGTAGATCGCCATCGCCACATCACCACGCGGATCGTAGATCACCGTCGCCGTGTAATGATGTAGACAGAGATAAATCGCCACATCGCCTTGCGGATCGTAGATTACCGTCGCCGTGTCATAGGGATGTAGGTGTACATAAGTCGCCGGCGCCACAGCGTAGGCTAGAAGGAAATAGGGATAGAGATAGGTCGCTCACCCTGCGAGGGAAGGATAGGGGTATAGAACGGCTAGCGGAAGCTTTAGAAAGCATAGTTAGGGTTAGACCAGCCGCCGCGAAACAGACGCAGGACTTGCCTATTTTTAACGGCTCGGCCGCGGAATGGTTAGCATTTAAAGCCGCGATGAATGAATCCACGCGTTTATATGGATTCACAAATACGGAAAATATGGCAAGATTAAGGAACTGTTTACGCGGTGAGGCTAGAGAGGTAGTATCGGCTCTGCTGTTTACCGCGAAGGATCCGGCAGACATTATGCGGACACTGGAGCAGTGTTTCGGCCGCCCGAAAGTAATTATAGATCGTGCGTTAGAAGAATTAAAACGCCTTCCGCGCCCGGGTCAAACCGCCCAGGAATTAAACTCGTTCGCGATTAAATTACAGAATATAGTGTGCATTATGCAGAACGTCGACGGCAAGGGTTATTTGCGTAATCCAATGCTGACTAGGGAGGTTACTAGCAAACTTAGCCCTCACTTACGGTCGCGTTGGTGCGATTATGCGGAGCACTACGGAAGTGCGGACGAACCGGACATCGTTACGTTATCCCGGTTCATGATGAGAGAGGCTGACCGTGCGTTAAGTCATGTCTATACGTCCGTAACGTCGACTAAGGAATCGCCCGTAAGACGAGAGACGCCGCCGTCGAAAAGAATAGTGTTAACACGCCGCGTAGAAGATAGGGCCCGCGACGTAAAGACGTTCACCGCCCAGGAGGACACCGGTAGTGCCTCATGTATGTGTTGCGGGGGTGAACACCCTATCGTCAAGTGTAAGAAGTTAGAGCAAATGGGCTCGGACGACCGGTGGAAGTGGGTTAGGGAAGATGGGGTATGTTTCAAGTGCTTGAGCAGCAAGCACCGACGTATACGCTGCAAAGCCAGGAAGTGCGGCGTCGACGGCTGCAACGCCCCCCACCACGCTCTCCTTCACACCCGCAAGGCCCGTACGCCTGCAGCGTCGATTAAACCGGACGAAACCGTGCTCGTCGCGTCGAGTGTTAGCAGTAGTGCGTCCGTATTGTTAAAAGTGTGCCCGATAACCGTACGCGGACCACGCGGAAAGGAAGTAAATACGTACGCGCTACTTGACGAAGGCTCTACGATATCGCTAATCGACGACGACTTAGCTCGCGAGTTAGGAGCGGAAGGACCGATAAAGCCGCTCAATATTAAAGGCGTAGGTAACAGTCAACGCGAGGCTAATAGTAGATTAGTCAATATACAATATAAAACAATAACCGACTTAAAGATAGGCTCGCAGTCTGTGAGTAGGGAGTGCTTACGGTTAAAGCACTTACGTGACTTACCGAGTGCGGTGTGTTACGACAACGCGAAGCCGAGATTGCTATTGGGCGCCGACAATTGGCATTTGATAATTACCCGTAGTTTAAGGATAGGACGTCGAAGGCAGCCTATAGCTGCACGTACATTATTAGGATGGATAATCCAGGGAACCGTGCCGCGGTTAACGTGTAGGGAAGACGGCGAGACCGTATTACACGTAGAGAGCACTAGCGGACGGTCAGATAGGGACATCCGAACGTTTGCCAGTCAGGACGAGGAGCTAACAGAACTCCTCAAACGGCAGTACGAGATAGACTCTATAGGTATCTCGCTAAAGAGTAGGCCGCGACGGGATGAGGAGCGCGCTGTCGACATATTCCAGCGCACCGTCAAGAAGGTCGGCGAGCAATACCAAGTTGGACTGCCATGGAAGGACGACAACGTGCGGATGCCACCCAGCTACGAGATGGCAGCGCGAAGACTACGGACGATCGAAAGGAAGATGGACCAGTTGCCGGAGTTTCGTGACGCCTACACAGCCCAGATAGACAACCTCCTGGCGAAAGGATACGCAAGGGAAGCCGAAGGGACAGAGCGAGAGGATCCCAAGAGCTGGTACCTGCCACACTTCGCAGTACGGAATCCGAACAAGCCGGGGAAGACGAGAGTAGTGTTCGACGCGGCAGCGCGCGCATCCGGCAGATGCCTTAACGATTATTTACTCGAAGGCCCCGACTTATTACGGAACTTACCGGGCATACTGTTTCGATTTAGGGAGAACGAGATAGCGGTGTCCGCGGATATTAGGGAAATATTCTTGCGTGTGAAAATCGACCGTCGCGATTAGCCCGCGCAGTTGTTTCTTTGGCGAGGAGACGAGCGACACAGCCCACCGCGGGAGTACGTTATGACGTCTATGATTTTCGGTGCGAGGAGCTCGCCGTTTCTCGCACATAGTGTTAGGGATCATAACGCGCGCGCA